GATTATGGTGGTAGAAAAATCTTGTGTTTATTACGAGCACAAACAGTTATTGCACTCTTAATTTGTATTAAGATGTAATAGCTATTTGTGTAAATAGCTACTGATATTTAGATTGAAGCCCGAAAGTTGAATCCATTGGTGCTATCTATTCTAAAAGTTGCCCCATTATCCTAGAGCTAATTTGTATTTATAAATTATTATAGTTAAATTGTAAATATACCTTATCTTGTTAAGTATAAGAAACAAGTCAAATAAACTTTTTATTTTTACATAATGTAAAAAGGTTTAGAATATGTATGGCTTGGTAATCTAATTTTCACGCAAGTATAAGTACAAAATGTTGTAATGTTTAAAAGGTTACTATGCAATCAAATCGAGATTATGAAAAAACTAATATTTTACGAAGATTTTTTTTACTAGGTCAATCTCTCGAAATAAAAAAAATGCATTCTCATATTGTTGAATGTAAAATATAATTATTTTCTATTTGAATTGGCCAAATTTTTAAGGGATATTTTATATATTTTGGGAGAGTAATTGTGTATTTACAATATCATAACCAAATATGATTAATATTATATCTTTATTAAAAAAAACCATTTCAAAACTAAATCTTACCAATATTAGGTAAATAGCCAAAGGTCAATTTTTAAGTGTCACATTAAAAACATGACTAGAAACACTGCTAATACAAACATGTCTGCTACATATTTATTTTAGGCTGGACCTGCATAAGAATATTTGAAATTTGTAATATTCATTGCTGAGCTTGTGTTTATTTTTTACTGCAGGAATTGAGGATTATTGGGGTTTATATTATAACTTTAAAATTCGACTTATTTGTATGACTCTTTGGAGGAAGTTCATAAGTATTTTTTGAACAAGAATGTAAATATAAAAATTACACCCAAAATTAGGAAAAATGTTTATTATAGCTAGGCTAGAGCTGTTGATAAAGTAGAATCTTATCTAACAGTGTTATGTTTGTTTAGAAATTAAATAGTTGATCGAATTAGGGTTTTACTTCAATCAATTTTCATCATTCACATTTTTGCCAAAAACTTATGGGTTAACCCATTTTTTGTTTATACTAATATATTATATATCATATAATATATCATTAGATTGGATTAGGATGTACATAAACAAAAGTTAAATATAATTTTCTGTACATGCCTTTTAAGTTTGTACATCAATGAGTGAAAATAGTTGTGAAGGTAATTTCAATTTGTATTTTCAGCAAATGTTTTTTCATTGTTTATTATTATCAGTTGATTGAATTAGGTAAATTAATTTATAGGGTGTAAATCTGTTGCATTCTTAAGCCAAACCTAGCTTAGAAAATCTTTAATTTATAAAATAAATTTAACCTCCTATAACGATTAACTTAATACAATACAATCTTATTGTTGTATACTTCAATCGTGTTTGGTTAAATAATATACAGGGAGAGTTTTAAATGAGTTCTTTCCCCAATTTGTTTACATTTCTTAAGATATCAACCTCACTTAAGGTCACAACCTCACCTTTACATTTAAAAATAGTTTTATGTATCCAATATGGCGGAATCAAGATGGCGGCCAAAAATGTATGCCCAGTCAAAATGAAGTACATACTACTCTACAATGATCTGACGTGGTCCGTAGTTGATATCTTAAGAAATGTAGAAAAAAGTAGTGGGGGAACTCATTTAAAACTCACCCTATGAGTATTGTTTAGCAAACATGGATGAAAACATGAACGTTTGATATGCATATAGTTATTATAGTTAATCTCGCATTCAGAATAACCATTCAATTTCTCAAGATCACAATAGTTCAATTATTTTCGAACTCTTTAGCAATATTCGAAAACTTCCAAACAAATATTTATATATTTACATATCTTGACTTAAATATAATAACTGTTCGATTTTGTGTCAGTAATTTTAATACCATATGCACAAGTATCCATGTGAACTAAATACCACATTAAGTACTCAGTGTTATTTATTTTTACTTATTAAAATATCTATATTTAGAATAACTTATGTTTAGGAATTCGTTAGTTTTCATTTTTAACAATACAAACAATTTAACAATTTCTCACTTTGTAAATAAATTCCGAAATTAAATGTATAGTTTGTTTGTAGTGAAGTCACACATTGAAATAACTTTTAATTTTACATAAACCTAAGTTTTACGTTAAAAACCCCAACATAGGCTAGAATGTAGCTTTAGTATTTTGGAATGCAATGTAATGTGCAACGTATAGCTTTAATTAGCTAATCTAACTTACTAATGTAGAAAATAAGTAGTGAAGAGGTTAACCTAGTGTAAAATACTTCTGTAGGTTTTGTCTTGTCTAACATGCATTAACATGCAGATGGCATGAAAAGCATTGTAGAAAAGGTGCATGGAATTAACTTAGTTAAAGAATGATAAGATGAACAAAATAATAATAGAATACAAGTGTTAGGATCCAGGAAAAAACATAAAAGTCCTACTAGCATTACTTGTATAGGTTTATTTTTATTTCACTAAAATTTGGAAATAATTTTATGAATCATATTAGTCTTAGATAAAGAATTCATAAATCTGGAAAAAATTATAAGTTTGTTTTGAATTTATCACTCTATACTTTAAAAGAAAAACAGAAAATTGTATGAGACGATTTTAACGAAAAATACTTTGGTAACAATACAAAACATATTTGGAGGGCAATATGATGATAGCTTTAATATTTGTAACTGCATAATATCATGAAATATTTCTTACATAGAAGAATTGAGGTAAATTTCTTTGAGTATACTCTACACTTTTTATTGAAAGTGCATTTTGGGTACGTACCAAGCTTTTAAACAGTGTAACTTAAAACAACACAAGTGAATTTCCAGAAATATTGTTGACAATATAATGTTACTGGAGATTATGTTTGGCCTATTTTGAACTGTTATGTGAGCTGTTTTGCAATTATTTGTCAGTGTGCAATGTATTTATTCAAGTCAGTCTGTTTCTTCTACAAGTTGCGTTTCTAGGTGTCTTGTGAACTTCGCTGTCGCAACCCCGAAACGGCAAATGTTTAATACTGTAACTATTTTTATGTGACCTGACTTCCCTTCCTGAGCTACCATAAGTGGTTTAGTTGATTTAGTTGGTGTTGATACATACTTAACCTTATACTACTATGACTATGTCAAATCCCAATGGTTGAAGTGTTACTTCCACCAGATGATGCGCTGCCCTAAATATGTTATATCACTTGGCACTATCTGCTATGAACTAAGAACTGTTCAAAGTGTAACACTTCTGTTTTTTCAATCGTTCCTCCTTTTCAACAGTACTTTGGAACCCTTTCCAACCACTTTATCCTCCTAATGTCTTTCTAGTGATACTACATAAACACCAAAATCTAACCATACGGATTTTTGTGTCGATCCTTTCCACAAACTAAGTGGTCATACATAAATGCACTTAATTCTCACTTGACACATTATGATAAAATCGATCTTAATGAAGTTGATAAAAGCTATTTGAATATTCTGGTGGTACATTTGAAACTATAATCTTAATTTTAATCGTCATCAATGATCGTTTCCATTTTCTATCCTTCATACTAACGTTATTTCCACTTGTATTTCTTATAACTAAAGATTCCCTAATAATTGTCATTGATAATCAATCCTTGTCTCTAGAATTAAGTCAAATAATTGCAGTGTTTACTTTTTATCTTATACCCAAAATCGTCAAATCAAGAACCCAGGCTACAAGATACAAGGGAAACACTGATGATGAAGTTCCTGAAACTAGGCAAAATAAATCAATACTACTAAATATCAAACTTTAATTTCAGAAACTCCTAAATACTCCACCTTAACCGTCTATACTCTCTGTTACTTGTTACAAGCTATACGAGAACACCACAAAACTAGTTACCTTTACTGCTTTACTTATGGATAGTATCCATAAGGGCGGATTGTGATATCATAGTTCCCTAACATATGATAAGTTACAGCTACCTCACCCTCCAGTACACACTTGTTTCCAAGTTACAGCTACCTCACTCTCCAGTTAACACTATTTCCCAAGTTACAGCGACCTCACCCTCCAGTTCACACTATTTCCCAAGTTACAGTGACCTCACCCTCCAGTACACACTACTTCCTAAGTTACAGCGACCTCAGCCTCCAGTACACACTACTTCCTAAGTTACAGCGCCCTCACCCTCCAGTACACACTACTTCCTAAGTTACAGCGCCCTCACCCTCCAGTACACACTACTTCCTAAGTTACAGCGCCCTCACCCTCCAGTACACACTACTTCTCAAGTTACAGCGACCTCACCCTCCACTACATTCTACTTCTCAAGTTACAGCGACCTCACCCTCCAGTACACACTACTTCCCAAGTTACAGCAACCTTAGCCTTCAGCACACACTACTTCCCAAGTTACAGCGACCTCGCCCTCCTCTACATTCTACTTCCCAAGTTACAGCGACCTCAGCCTCCAGCACACACTACTTCTCAAGTTACAGCGACCTCACCCTCCACTACATTCTATTTCTCAAGTTACAGCGACCTCACCCTCCACTACATTCTACTTCCCAAGTTACAGCGACCTTAGCCTCCAGCACACACTACTTCCCAAGTTACAGCGACCTCGCCCTCCTCTACATTCTACTTCCCAAGTTACAGCGACCTCAGCCTCCAGCACACACTACTTCCCAAGTTACAGCGACCTCGCCCTCCTCTACATTCTACTTCCCAAGTTACAGTGACCTCACCCTCCACTACATTCTACTTCCCAAGTTACAGCGACCCCACCCTCCAGTACACACTTGTTAACAGCCGATTGTTGCAGGAGTCATTCTCTTCTCCTCGGCCGTTTACTTCGCAGAGGCGGGTTCCGAGTTGTCCTTCTTCAAGTCGATCCCGGACGCTTTCTGGTGGGCCGTCGTCACCATGACCACGGTCGGATATGGAGACATGAGGTACAGTACTCAGCTGTTTTGTCGTGTTCAGGTGTGGTGCTATTCTCGAGTGCGGTCTACTTCGCCGAGGCCGGCTCGGAAAACTCTTTCTTCAAGTCGATCCCGGACGCGTTCTGGTGGGCCGTCGTCACCATGACAACCGTTGGCTACGGTGACATGACGTATGAAGTACATTTTACATTAACGATTGCATCTGGGGTCGTTCTCATGGACTCACCAGTAGACCCGCATTGATTTGATTTTGTTGCTAGATTTTACAGTTATTTTTTAGCTCTAGAGTGTCTTGGCTGATGGTTTATTGAAGAAAATTCTTTGTTTCGCCGGGCTCGGTTCTCCCCCGCCCCCTCCACTCCCGGGCTCTCTGTGATGTGTCGATGTTGTCTGCTTCCCCTGCAGGCCGTCTATGATATCCTCCTTAACTAGCATGCTTTACGGCTGTAATAAACGCGATTTGAGTCCGAACGATCTTCACTACTGTCGGTTTTTATGTTCGGTTTTTCACTATTTTACACCCTGTTTTCTCTCATTTTTTTTCTATTCGATGTTTTGTCATTGGATGTTTAGTTGTTAGAACTGGACTGTTTGAATTCAAATGATCAAATTACAGTTTAGTATTGCACAGCATAGGGGATAATTGTATACAAACAAGGAAGCCATCGTGTATAAACATGTAATCACCTTCCCTCACAGTTTATGAAGTAGTGGGCATCAAATTATACGTTTAACGTACCAATTATTTTCTATTCCTGTCGGTTGTTTTTTTTAGTTATTTTTACATGGGTTTTTACGCTTTTTCAAGAACTATAAAGCTATGATTTTGATTGGTGTAACAACATTATTTATATATTACCTACCGATACCAAACACATATTAATCGTCATTTAAAAAGTACTACGAATTTTTATTTGTTTATGTACCTGATGTTTTTCGTTTTTCATCGTTTCTTTAAATAAAGTTGACGTTAGTTCCAAATATTTAGAAACAATCTCTCTAAATGTAGAAATATCTCAGCCTAAAACCATGTTCTTCATAGGTCTAGCACGGTTACACCCTATTAAACTTTTGCAAAGCAACATGCAGCCAAATTTAAACCGTAAATCCCTTTGCTGGAGTTTAGAGTTTACTTTGACCAATCGAAGTTGTGCTGTGTGGGGTGATTGAGAGCCCTTGCCATAACAATTCTGACATCACATCATCGCAATTCGACAATATCTGCCTGCCTATCGTACAATGGCCCACCTGTTACTGCCCTCCCCATTGGTTTACGACCCAATTTTAGTTTATGTCGATTTGTAACTTCCTACTTGCAAACAATCTTGTCAATCAGCTAGAAAAAGGGAAATATTTAATTTTAAATTCTCTGCTTTTATTCCAACCGATTTTAAATCATTCAGTAAATTCTCAAAAGCTGTTTGCATTTTAAAATCCTACACAAAAGTAAAACTGCTTAAAATGTACAAATATTAGTGTATTTCTTCACAAAATGCCCTATTAAGGAAGCCTAACACGTAAACCTTTCCTGAAGCAACACCACTACTAGTGGGGGTTAAAGAGGGATGCCCTAAAAGTCATGACAGTCCTCAAGGATCATTGATTTCGACTGATCCCATTTCACCCCTCTTAAAACATTTTCTTAAGTGGTTCTCAGCTTATATTGTCGTCGACTTGTGGGGTTTCCAACTTGACTGTACGTCAAACGAGGGTGGTTTTTCTATGTGCTTCCCCAAAAAAGTTGCAAAATTTTTAATAATAATCCTAAATTGTATGAACTTATTCTTACTAATTCTATGAAACGTTGATCCTATATGCTCAATTAAGTTGTAAACGAACAAAACTTAGGACGGTTTAGTTTGTAATTTATCAAGTAAACATAGCCTGCAGGGGGTTAGTCAATGTTGTATGTTGTGTGATTGGTCGATCTGTACCGGGATGCACTTATCTTTCTATCCTATTATCTTCTCTCTTTCTCTCTTTCTTTCTCTCTCTTCCTTTCTTTCTTCTTCTCTTTCTCTCCTGTTTCTGTCTCTGTCTGTCTCCACGGTTGTTCTCATGTTGTACCAGTCGCTCTGCTGCCGCCGGTTCGCTGGAGTGACTCACTTAAACGACAACAAAGAATTTTCTACATGCGAGTGTGTGCCTCTGGGTGACTGTGTGTCTCAATCTATGATCAGCTGATCCAGTTTCAATTTTACCAGGGTTGCCAACTTGTGTGAAATACTAAAGTTATTAAACTGCAACCTCCTCAGAAGAAACCTTCGCTTGTTGCATTTCAAAATTGCAAGTAAATGTGTTTTTTGTCTTATTTAATCCATCTAACTAATAGTCCTTAAACAAAAGTGTATTCCTCATAGATTGGGACAAATACTGACAGAGATATGGTTGACCCTGGATAGTTCAGTAGTAATATATTCCTGAAACCAGTTCTCTGTCAGTACCATTGAACGAGTTTGTGCATGTGCGCGTGAACCCTAGTACCTGAATTGCCTTTTTTAACCCGTTTTTAAACGTTAATTTAAACTGTGTTACTTAAAGATGTTGCATATTTTAATACCTACTTTGATGCATAGACAAATAGAATAAATATATACCGACAACAGTGCTGCAGTTAGCATAAGTTCTGGCGTCCACCGCTAGGAGTGCCATGTAGTTACGTAGCGCATGAGCCAACTACACGGTGCTCCAACCGGTGGACGCCAGAACGTATACTAACCGCAGCACTGCTGTTGGTCTATATTTAATTATATTTGTCTATGATGCAACCGATTGGACATTAAGGTATTTTTGTAAACCCATTATTCAGTTTGAAAATAGTTTATAATTGCCGAGACGATTATTTTTACGTAGCCGAAGATAAAGCAACAATGTTTTAGTTACACAGTTGAAACGTTTTGTTCGTCCTTAGTTGTGACTTGTACGATTTTTGCCTGTGTTATGTATAGTTTGTTCATATCGTAGTTTGTATTTTATGATTGTTGTTTGTAGCCTATTTATGGTTCTGCAAACAAGCGTAGTTCAAGTTCAAATATACTGGAGGAGTTATTAGTCCCATTTAAAATCACAACTATTGAAAAAATGGCGTTATTCTTTCTTGACATGACCTCAACTGTTTAAAAATGCTGTGCTTTATATGGATTAAAATTTGTATTTTATTTTGTTTATCGTTCTTCTCTCTACCATGGTTCTGGGTCAAGAAGTTTTCCCTTTTTACGTTAAACCTATGATTAATTTTTAACTTCAGGAAATGGACCTTCATTTACCATCAAAAGTTAAATCGTATTTCTAATATTGAGTAAATGAGTTTCATTAAATTATATTTATTTAACTTATGTTTTAAAAATGTAAACATTCTTTCAAAACTGTGCCAAAGGAAATGAACATAAAATAAGTACGTTGTTTAAGTAAACCAAATAATTAATAAATCCAGGTAGCTGTTGACGTTTTTTATTGTCAACTGTTGCTGATAATAACAATTTTAACGAAACGATATCTATATACCAGAAGCGTACGACAAAATTCAGTCAAAAATTCCCTCTTCGCCATACTAAAATGACTTTTACCGGTATCTTGCTTGTTGTGCTTTCTATGTGCATGAATATTTTGTATAGTAGATTTTATGCATGTTTACAATTGTTTATTGACAACTAACTGTTCAACTCACAGAGCCAATCCCATCTTTCCACCATTTGTGTTAACCAAAATATTACGTTTTACTAATAGATTAACCTTCATCAATCTGTAAATTAAGTTGTGTAACGTATTATTTACATTTTTCATTCCAAACTGATTATTTATTCGTCAATTAGTTGTTGTTGATTTATTACAAAGCCATTATACGCCATATTTAATACTCAACATTTTATTCTGGTATAATTTACCTTAGTTTATTTTTGTTTTTAGAATGACACTTTCTGCTAAATGAGGAATTCTTATCAAGCTTAGAGTTTTTTTTGTTTTACATGCTTAACTAGACATAGACATTCATTTTCCTGCCTGTGCAAGACCCATTTATGAAACCGTTCGTCCCATTTAGGAATGTGCGTGCCTACGGGAACGTTACGTTTTCAAACTATCAGTTGCCTCTTTTCTAGCACAGTAGAGAGCGCTCGTCACCACAAGTTACAGTAGTTTTTCATCGTAGAAAATTCTTCGTAGGGACCATCTCTTGCAAGAACTGCAACTCTTGATAAATTTAATTGAAGAATTAGTTGATTGGTCAAGTTGTGAGACTGCATCTATTTCAAAACTCTAGTCGTTTGCTTGCAAATCTTCCTCCTATTATTATGTAATGACAGTGTAGCATTGCTGTAATATTGAATAAATTTGTTTGTAAATTAAATTAACCGGTATCATTCAAACACTGATTACTGTTCGCCATACTTAACTAAAATTGATTTAAATATTCATTACATTTGTTTACTAATCACTTATTGACATAACATTTTATTTGACCTATTACAGTATTTAATCGTATCACGAAATACATTATTATTATCACAACTGACTATTTTACACTCTACACTGATACTAAATCCAAATTGTATCATGTTGAGACCGTGTTCTTTAAAGAGGTGGTTCCTATTGTTAAACTCTCGAAGAAAGGTGTGTAGTAGATATACATTTTCAAATCATCCATAAGATTTATCTAGGACTAAAATAATGTTAAGCAATCTAAAACTATACTTAGTTGTACTCCAAATCACATATATATTGGCTTGTACACTGTATAATAGTATAATATGATCATGTTAAAATAAGTCATTGATGACCAGTGTGACACTTACATGTTTGTTTTCAAACATATTTTCCATCAATTGTTGCATATCTTGGGAATATCATAGCCAAAGAGAATTAAATATAGACCGACAGCAGTGTTGCGATTAGCATAAGTTCTGGCGTCCACCGCTGGGAGCACCTTGCACTCCTAGCGGTGGACGCCAGAACTTTTGCTAACTGCAGCACTGCTTTCGGTCTATATTTCATTGTATTTTTATTCTTCTACATACCTTTCTTTGCGAGTTTCGCAGTGAACTCGAGCCATTATGACACTGACTCCGTTCTAGGCCTGTCGGAGTTTGGGGAAAGATTGTTGGATCGCTGTGTGCGATTGCTGGTGTGCTCACCATCGCACTTCCCGTGCCTGTCATCGTCTCCAACTTCAACTATTTCTACCACCGTGAGACCGACCAGGAGGACATGCAGTCTCAGAACTTCAATCACGTGACTAGCTGTCCTTACCTCCCGGGCACGTTAGGTAACTAACAGCGAGTTACCTAGAGCTAGAGGCAATGAGTTGAGTTTTTGTAGTTATCCTGGCAAAAGTCGTGTCTATAATAGCTTCATAAATAGTTGTTTCAGCAACATTTACATCTTGCGTTGGATGGTATGTATGTATTTAACTGTAGCGTAGATAGCTGATAACAAATTACCTTCAGTTTAATTTCCAAGCTAAACCGTGGTTAGTAGTTTAATATTAGAAGGTAAAGTATATGTCAAAAATATCGAGTTCCTGTCACTTTTAGATTCTTAAAATGGGCCTATGACGTGTTGATAAAATGTTGGTATATAACTTGTTTGAATCTCTGAAAAATAAGGAATATTTTCGTATTATTTTTGTAACTGTGACGAACGAATTTCTCTTAAAATGTTTACATCTTAATGTTTAAATATAATGTAATCCATAGTAATTGTGATATTGCCTTCTTTAACACTCTTCTTAAAAGCTTCGTGGTTTGTAGTTTCGGTTGATACAACAAGAAGTAAACTTCTTCTTGATGCTAACTACTTATTGTTCCAATATCGGGTAAGACTTTGGTGCGAGAGGGACGCGTTCAATTCCCGGCGCACCCAAAAAACTTTTCTCATGTTGACCCCTTGTGAAATGCCACTGGTGCAGAAAAAATGAAGTAATGTCGAGCATGTCAAAAACCTGAATGGCAGTTTCTGCACGAATTATAATGTTCTTGTTCTGCGCAGGGCAACATATGAAGAAGAGCTCACTATCAGAGTCGTCGTCAGACATGATGGAGCTTGAAGAAGGGTTGTTGTTGGCTCGCGATATGAGCACCGTAAAGAAACACAACTGCAACCCTAGGCACAACAACAACATCAACGCTATGAGTATCGAGACTGACGTCTGACTAGTGGGTGAGTCAATACTTCGCTCTTTCAATTCAATATCTATTAAGGGTAAAGGATTATGATTGTCTACTTTGATCCATGTGATGCTCTTTGAGATTTTGCCATAGGCCCTATTTGGATAAGCCCTAGGGAAAAGTAATGTTATTTATCATCAGTGCTGTGAGGTTATTTTCCATTGAACTCCAACTTAACTTCCTTATACTGTTCATTTCGTCGGCTACAGTGAAATCAAAAAAGGTTGTATGATGTGATAAATATTCTAAGATCATTGTAATATTTGTGTCTCCTCTCGTTCCGATACACACACCTGGTTTCAAAGCCAGTCTATTTCATACTTTGGTAGTTGAATCCCAACTGTATTACTGTCTAAAATTCCAAGGAAGAACCGAAAAATCTCATACGATAAAATACATTGGGGAATGATAAAGGCTAGTCGAGCGGCCAGATAAATATCAATAAGCTTGCACGAACGGCTGTTACACACGGAAACCAGCCGCGTTTGACAGCAATGTAGACTGCGCTGTCAAATCAATGTTGTCTTCGTGGTTTTAGATATCTTCATTAGGGAAATGTAGAATCTTTGCGTTCCGTGAGACCTGCTTATCGTTAACTGGACCAATGAGTTGTCACTATTACCCTGTAATTCTTTTACGTCTATACTCAATGCTCTTACACTTATGACTCATTGATAGACAGAGGAACTAAGTGATCTTTTGCAAAATCTGTTTATCGTTAAGTGGCCCAACGATTTTTCATATTACCTTGTAATTCATGGACGTCTATCCTTAATGATCTTAAGACTCATTGATAGCCAGTCGATCTGAGTGATCTTTTGTAAAATATGTTTATCGTTAACCAATCCATCGAGTTAGTTTACCGACCTAATTCATCTTGCACTTGAAGTGTGTGAGATAAGCTATTCATCATCTGTCAAGTGGTAGGCTTGATTGTAGTCATCAGCGTCAGCGTCATAGGAACTTTCTCAAAGGTTTTGCTCGTTATTCTAGTCAAACGAACCGTTTCTCAAATATCAAGTTTTGTCGTAGTTCAACTTATTTAGGCGTACAAGCAAACTTGGAAAGGAAATAATTTTGAACAGTGAAGCTGCTTGTATTTTGTTTGTGTGGAATCTTCGACTGGAAGTGCTATTTTGAAATGTACAAAGAGCTATCTTATAATGCCAGTTTTGAATTTCTTCATAGTTTAATTTCAAACCTGAATCATTATATGAAAATATTATTCGTCTTCTTCCAGCTATTATTGTATTTTGACACATTCTGGTTTGATTTATAACCAAACCATTTGCTACCAATTCATGGGGTCAAACCTTGAATACATAAATTGAGAATAAGTGTGGTAGGACTGATAAATGCATAAGAAAACTACTAAACATATTCCTGATACATTTTATACTAATTTCCTGATTTTCATTATACTTGATTGTTTATTGATTCAACAGTAGCTAAATCAGATAAGAAAATGCCTCAAATATCCAGACAGTGGGCATTTTTAGCCAATCTTTCGCATATTAAAATGAGGTATCCCCAAACAATGGTTAATATATTTTGGAAGTGTAATTACGACATGAACCCTATTGAAATCTAGTTTTCCTTATTCAGAATACATACAATCTGGACATACTTTCCACTGATTCTGGCACTGTACACCACTCACATATGTTATTGATTTTGATTTTTAAAAACTGGTGACAACTTTAACTTGGGTGGAATGTCTAGTTGTATCAATAGCCAAAGCTTCACACATTCATTTCAATCAAATTTGACACTAACAACATTGGTTCCAAAAGGTAACCCAGCCAGAATACAGTTTACAAATTATGCATACATATTGTATCAACTGTTGTATTTGTTTATCACGTCATTTCTGAAGAGAGGATTTAATTTTCTGAAAACCAATCATTCCGAAAATTGCTCAATCGAATCCGACGCAAGTTTTGCTTTGCATGTAGTCTTTTGAAACTAATATTACTTAAATTATTATTTTACTACGAACCATTCAAATCTTCAAGGGAGGAGGTTCGTATTTCATATAGTATTTAATCTATGGTATTATTCAACGGTGTCAGCTGAGCGGCCTGAGCCTGTATTGCAGGCTTGTGCCAGTGTTACAGCTGATTCCCCCCCTCTTCCCAGTTTTATTGATCGTAGTTCTGCAGCCCACTTCCCGCTCCGGCCCAAATGGTGGCCGCCCTTCAACTTCTAATGTCTTCATTACTATTTCTATTTCCTACTTTGTTCTTACAGTACAGATAAATGCTGATGATTTTTATGCTGTGGTCTTTGAAGGAATTTAAAAGCCTTGCATTCAATAACTGTTCAAAAGAAAAACTTCAAAATGTTTAAGCAAAATTTTTTTAACCACCTGCTATTAAACTTGCTACCATATAATTTAAACTCGAATTTGTCATTATGTTATTATTGTCAAATTTGAAGTAGGTATGCAATTCCGTGCACTTTACAGTAACCCCTGCAAAATTAAATTTTGATTAACTTATGAGTACTTTTTTGTTTTTTAGAACACCTATATTCTTTAATTATATTAGGAACCCCCTCCCAGCACTTTAAAATATATAACAATATACCTAATTGGTAATTTTTAATGTTATTGTGATAATTGACCTGAAAGTTATGTTAAAACCCCATTCTAGAAGATTCAACACAGTTAGCAATATCATTCCAATAAAATAAATAATAATAAATGTATCACAAATAGGATATTATTGTATATAAATTAACAAACATATACATCCATATATGCCAGAAGGCTTAGTGAGATTACTCTCCTATTATTTTGGTAGTTTATTTATTTTAACATGTTATCCTCGATTTCCTAAGATGAAAAATTTCCAATTCTGACCTAGAATCCTGAGCACTAATTTTATATGAATTATAGAGAATAAAACTGAGAATCAAATAACATTGGAACATCAGCTGTAAACCTGATTCTGTAAATTCCGTTGAGTTCTCAATATTTTTATTACCTGTATCACTTTCTATATCAATACAGGATTTGTTCCTATTTTTCTCTACAAACCATTTTACTTACCGGTCCCCCCCCCCCAAAAAAAAAGCTGCTCCTTTAAAGAGAGCAGATTAATGGAATTAATCCTCATTAACCTATAACTAGGCATCTGCCTCAACTTTCTAAGAACTTCTTATCATCTTATATTTACATTTAGCTGTACATATGTATGACTGCTTTATTACATAAAATATATCCATATCTATACTTAAGCTAGACCTATTATATGTGTCCAATTCAAACCGATCCGAATTTGTAAGAAGTGGCTACACTGATTAATTTCTTCCCGGGGCCGGTCCTGCCGAAAGAGGTGGCTACAATTGTACAATACTCAGAAGGACGCACACGGTCACGAGGCACACAGCCTCCACTACTCACAAGGTGTCATTCCTACCGAAGACACGGATGGTCTCATAATTGGTGTCCCCATCTCATAATAATAATGAAAATAATAAAGTGCATCAAACTATGAGGAAATTGACATACATAATGCAAATTATATGTACATTAACATTTACCTGAAAGCACAAAAACTATGTCAAATAATAATATGTTTACACTTATACTGTTTACTCACAAGACGGTAAATACATATGGTATGAAAGATGGTAAGTGGTGATTGATTTCGATTGGACACTCCAATCATCATCAGACCCAATAGGTGAATATTCGTCTATTTTTTTACATATTTTTTGTGCTTTCAGGTAATTTAATAACACGTACGATGCTGGTTAAGACGTTATTAACATTAATTGCTAAATTAAATTTTTTTTGCAAATTATGCTAGTATGTGTCAAGGACCCTTATTAGCGGCATACACACAAACTCAGAGAAAACATACGCACAAAGGGCCTTTACTGTAAAAACGAACCTCGTATTATTTGGATTATATCTATCTGAATTCTGAAAGGATATTTATCTAGCTTTTCAATATGAATCATCGTGGGCAAAGCCGCGAAGTGTTGTGCTAGTTCATTAATCAGAATTAAAAACAATACTTTTCTTTTTCCAAGCTGGTACTTACCGGTATTTCATACTTCTGCAGCTCTACAGGCCTTGGTGGCCTTTTGCTTCCGTAACAGTTCGCCTCCAATTGGCTCGATCCTGCACCATCTCTCTCCAAACCCTCACTCTCAACGTCCTCAGGTCATCCTTCACTTCATCAAGCCATCTTCTTCTCGGCCTACCCCTTCCTCCTTTCCATGTTCTGCCACAACAGTTCTTTGGACTGTCTTCCTTGAGGCATTCTCCACATGGCCCAACCAACCGATCCTTCTTGCTTTGATGAAGCACGCAATATCCTCCAGTTCAGTTGCAAAATTTCATTTAATTTTATATTCTTTAATATCCTCCATCTGTATTCTTCTTATCATTTTCCTTTCTAACACCCTCATGCTTGAGTTCGCTGCGGAAAGGGACTAGGTTTCTGTGCCTTACATAACAACCATCGAACACGTAACAACAGGCTTCATTAGCTTCATCATTGTCTTTGTGGGTAGCTTGGATCTGAGGATCACAGGGTTAGCAAAATGCTCTGTTGCCATATTATGTTTGTGATTTCTTGCGCAACAGTGTTTTTGCTATTCAAATCTGTCCCAAGGTAATAATGTATCCACACCCTTGAAAACGTAGGTACCTTTGTCCAAGTTTTGGATTCTTTTTCTGACTTCCGCTTCAGACATTTTTCCTAGTTGTTATCATCACAAATATTCTTTGTTGGATATCTTTCATTGGAGTAACTGATCAATCACTAGAAAACTTTCAATACTCGTTGTCGCTGTCACGAACAGGGGTTCTATACACATGCAAACCTCAGCATGGGTTCTACATGGGTTGTTGCCCCATGCAAACCTCAGCGGTACCCATAAACACGCCTTATTTTGACAGGGAACTTTTTCAGGGCAAAAGAGCTTAAAAGAAGATACCACAGCAGACTACTTTTGGTTTTACTGTTTAACCTTAATACAATTAGAACTTGATCTTGAGAATTTCCAATATAGGGAAAAAGCTAAAACCTTAGGTCTCATGGTATAAGACCTGTACAGATTTACTTTTTCGTTTTGATGTCCCCAGAGGCCGAACACACTACAGTATTTGTTCAAATTCATATGTCATTTAGCACGATAACTTGAACCAAAATTATCGGATTTTGATGAAAATTTTTCCAAACCTGTAAACCTATGTTTATTCAAACGAGTTCGCGAACCTGCATGATCCTCCAACCTTCCCTGTATCAGAAAACCTAAGTACTCATTAAAATTAATGTTATTTAAATAGGATATAAATCTGACTATTTTAAGGGAATACTTAAGCAGAAATCCAGCCCGGTAAATGGAAATTCGCTTAGTCTGCAGGTTTGCTGCAGCAGGGGTACTGTACAGTTATTGGTTACCCATAAATTTCAAAAAAAAATTAAATTTAAAATTCTATGTTATTCTTATGGAGAATAAGAAAACCGTTGAAGTTTGCTCGTTTATGCGGATACATTTTGTTCAAACTTGGAAAATAAATTATATACTACGCTATTAATATTTTTCTAAAACCACACTTTATTACCCTCCCTGTAGCAGCAAACATAGGTGCTCGTTAAACCTAATGTTATTGAAATAGATTTAATTGAAAATCAAATCAGGCAAATGGAAATTCTCTTAGTCTGCAGGTTTGCTGCAGCAGGTGTAATTGGTTACAGAGTGTGTTGTGTTCTAAAATTATTTAACCACAGTACTATAATGTGTGTTTTGTTACAACACCTGAGAACTAGTGCAACACTCTGACAATTTGTTTGTTGCAACAATCTGATGACTGTTTTGTTGCAGCATTCTGATAACAGATTTGTTGCAACATTCTGATGACACTGTTTTGTTGCAGCATTCTGATGACAGATTTGTTGCAACATTCTGATGACACTGTTTTGTTGCAGCATTCTGATGACAGATTTGTTGCAAAATTCTGATGACACTGTTTTGTTGCAACCATCTGATGGCACTGTTTTGTTGCAACCATCTGATGGCACTGTTTTGTGTCAACCATCTGATGACACTGTTTTGTTTCAACGTTCTGATGACTGTTTTGTTGCAACATTCTGATGACTGTTTTGTGGCAACCATCTGATGGCACTGTTTTGTGTCAACCATCTGATGACACTGTTTTGTTTCAACGTTCTGATGACTGTTTTGTTGCAACATTCTGATGACTGTTTTGTGGCAACCATCTGATGGCACTGTTTTGTGGCAACCATCTGATGGCACTGTTTTGTTGCAGTACGTGAAGGAGGCGTGCAGCTGCAACAGGAACCAAGTCTCATCTCCTCATACACAGTCATGATTCTGAATGAATACAAGGAATACGATGATTGTGTTGTTGCAGTAGGTAAGGACAAACCCATAACCCTCCAACCATATCATTTCTCATTGTAAAAACTATCTACAACATTAATATTTAGTTAGATGATTGGGGGACGGGATTATTCTCAAATACAGGAGCTTTTACCAATTTAATTAAACTCTAAGACTTCCACAATCATGGTGCGTTCTAAGAATGTTATCAATACTGTATCGAAGTTTTGTTTTAATATTGATATTCTCAGTAACTAAAAGCATTATATATATTAATCTAAACCATAAAGTCTGTTTTCTAAACCATAAGAATAAAAAAAAATGTAATACGTAAGACTGCTAGAATTTTATTCATCTTATGTGATATTGCAATCTTACGATGATATTTTTCTTGGATTATAGACAAATATATTAATAAAATATGAATAAAGAGGTATATTAGAAAAATATATATAATTGGTTATCAGAGCAAAAGGCTTTTTCTGAACACAGCTTAGACAAGCAAGTTCTACTGTAGATCATTCAGTCTGTTGGCAGCCTTTAAAGCTAACAAAGTGCAAGACAGTGGCGGCGTTAGCGAGCTATGGTGCCTGCGAGCTGGAGAGTCCCGCAAGTCTTGACCGGGATTTTTTGGAAATTTTACCACTATAAAGATCTGTCATATGGGCCCTCCTATCGTGACAATATTTATTTATTTTAATAATGAGTATCACTATACTTTTCTATGACAAAAGTTTGCCTTGAAAGATCTAGTACAAAGTCAGAAAATTGGGCTGAGCTTTTACGACCGCGATAACATCACCACTGCAGAACGCGTCTGCAAGGATCACGCTTTTGCCATGATTGCAGATGTCAAGAACATTCCCTTGTGGGTGACGATGACAATGTGTCCAAGGCCGCAGGAAATGTTCAAAATTTTGCTGTAATCGCGGAAGACAATAATGATGGCCACAAACCCATGACCGTGGGATACGTTCAGGATTTTGCTGCGATAATGGAAGACGATATTATGTTTCCGTGACCGTGCAAGATAGGCTATTCAATATTTTGACGCTATGGCAGAAAACGATGATTACGTTTTGATTCGCAGGAGATATTTATGATTTTGCCGCAGTTGCAGAAAATATTATGTTTCCGTCATTGTGGGAGATTTTAGGGATTTTACCACGATCATGGGAGACAATGATATTGATTCCGTGACTGTGGGAGGTGTTAACAATTTTGCCACGGTCACTGAGGATGATGGTAATATTTCCATGACCTATGAAGATATTCAGGATTTTGCCTGATTTCATTTTGCGTGATCATGGAAGACGATGATGACACCTCAAGGATTCCGTGCCAAGCTCAAGTGCAAGCTTAAGTAATAATACCTGACATAATGTGTTTAAAGATTATTGGGAGGGGGGGCCTGGTAAACTAACTTGCCGGCTCTTATTCCCGCCACTGGTCCAGGTAAAGCAGAAAAGAGTAGAAATAAAGCATTACTAAATAAAAGATTCATAAGAGTCATAGAAAAAAAGGACACACATAATAGATAAACAATAAGTTTGCCTTTACATAACATATCTAAACAAAAATTTTTTTGACTATGATCGTTTTTCCCCGTGCACCCTTCATGTATGTTGCAGTGTGAGAGGCAGGCCTGTGAGGCCAATGGGCCACGTCGCCACTTCACTATGGTGCTTTCCCTCAATGTGACTCTATATTACATGTATGTTGCAGTGCGAGAGGCAGGCCTGTGAGTCCAATGGGCCATGTCGCCACTTCACTATGGTGCTTTCCCTCAACGTGTCTCTATATTATATGTATGTTGCAGTGCGAGAGGCAGGCCTGTGAGTCAAATGGGCCACGTCGTCACTTCACTATGGTGCTTTCCCTCAATTTGACTCTATATAACATGTATGTTGCGGTGCGAGAGCAGGCCTGTGAGTCCAATGGGCGACGTCGCCACTTCACTATGGTGCTTTCCCTCAATGTCACTCTATATTACATGTATGTTGCAGTGCGAGAGGCAGGCCTGTGAGTCCAATGGGCCACGTCGCCACTTCACTATGGTGCTTTCCCTCAATGTCACTCTATATTACATGTATGTTGCAGTGCGAGAGGCAGGCCTGTGAGTCCAATGGGCCACGTCGCCACTTCACTATGGTGCTTTCCCTCAATGTCACTCTATATTACATGTATGTTGCAGTGCGAGAGGCAGGCCTGTGAGTCCAATGGGCCACGTCGCCACTTCACTATGGTGCTTTCCCTCAATGTCACTCTATATTACATGTATGTTGCAGTGCGAGAGGCAGGCCTGTGAGTCCAATGGGCCACGTCGCCACTTCACTATGGTGCTTTCCCTCAATCGGAACTCTCCATGTTATGTGAGTGTACCGCGCGTTGCCAGCAATTACCACTAAAATCGACTGACTTTTAATAATTAAATAATAATAATTACGTATTACTTTATAACTCAATAATATTATTAATTATTATTGGTCTTGCCAAAGAAAGTGACCGTTTTTTATAATAGACTTTGAATTTTTATATTATTATTAATTATTATGATTAAGCTAGTACCTTGACCGTAAGGTTCCCATCCCGTGTACAGGCTGACGCGAATATCTGCATTGATAAATGACATATTCTTTTTTTACTTATTGATTTTTCTATATTTTTGGTGCAAATATAAAGGTTGTATGAAATAAAGTGCCTCAAACATATGCTATACAAAATATGTTTTACTATTGTTATTTAATTTGCTGATTAAGTCGTGTTTTTGGTACGTTTGTACATAACTGTTCTCTATGTGTACTTATTTCCCACCTGAACTTTTATGCTAGACTTAAAGTAAAAGAGAAACCGACTCCATGGGCTCTGTACATTATAGAGTTTATGGAGTGTTCGCTTACTTTAATGTTTCCAATGAATATTTCGTCACAAGGGGGTGTGGACAGCCATCCCTAGGATTTATTTCCTAAGTCTAAATTATTGATAATCCTAACAATTACCCTACAGAAACAATTCTACTAGACAAAAAATATATATTTTAACGTTGTTCAACATAATGTACCAATGTAAGAAAAAAAGTCCAAATATTTATTCGATAAAATTGAGTTTTTTAAGATGAATTAAGTTAAGATATTCTACACTTGAGTAAAAAGAACACCAACTTCAACAGTATTAAATAAATATAACACTTGTGCTTAGATATAAATACCCTGTGATATATTTTTCTTCTATATTGTGTGCATAGTTGGATTTTCCAGCACAATTTCCGTTTGATTCTTTGCTTGGACAAAATTGTAATCCATGGGTATTAAACACAGCATTACTGATATTGCAAACACATTTCAGTCAAAAATGTATAAACAAGTAAACATTCAAGTTGGCACTTGATTTTTTATATTCATATAAAAAACATTTGATTTGTTTCACAAATCCACGTTTGTGAGGTGAACAAAAATATGCCTACAAACTTGAGCCCCAAATACATCCTCGAACATTATTAAACCTCCAGAACAAGTATCTAATTCAACATTTTTTTAACCAAGCTATATTGTTCTATAAATGCTAATTATGACAATTAAATCATTATTTTACTGCATAAAAAGTAACGCCTACCCTCTTTTACTCTTAAAAATTTGTTTAAACTGTTTGCCCTCGCGAAGAAGGTAAAATTTAAACGATACATATTTGGATGGAAATAGTTGTACTCCAGACATTATTGAAGGAATGTAAAAAAAATTATTCTAATGCCAAAAAATACATCGCAGTAAATATAAATAATAAACCAGAATTTTAGGTGTTTAAAATTAATCTCCTTTTGTCCGGCGTGTGGTTTGCATGTGATTCGCCCCTCTTCATCTACCTTGTGGGGGAGATTTTCCCTTTCTTGTGCCCCCAACAAACCTGAAAACCCTTAATTGTGTTCAATATTATTCCATTAGTTTTAATCTCGGTGCCATTACACGTATAATAACAGATATCACCAAGAACTTGCAGAAATCAATACATTTTTTTACCAATAATTTCCTAATATTAATAAAACATAGTAAACCTTGTACAATTTTGGAAAAAGTTATTAAACTCATCGAGCAAATATTCCGTCAATTACCTTCCATTCACATACATTTTTATTTCATACGTAAATCAGTTTTGAGAATTCAAAACATGTTCTTAAATGATCACAAATAACAATTAAGTTAACTTGGGGGGCGTAGGGTTTACAAGAGAAAATTTACACTCACGGAAAATTACCAACCAAAGAAAACAATAAGCAATTTCAAAAATTCAACAAAACGCTGAAAATTCCCTCAAAACATTGTAAAACTCTATTCTAAAATCAACTACTCTATTTCAATATTCTAATCGAGTTACTTGATTTTATAAGCTTAACTTAGAACACCCAGATTATGTGTTTATCAATGTATCAGCCTGCTACATGTCCTACTTCTCTTATAATGTCCTTCTGATATATATCTGCTTCCTTATCGACAGTTCAATGAAAAATAACGAAATAAGTAGATATTTACATTTTTGCTGCAGACTGTGTATCGTATACTCTAACAGCCTGGGGTTTGCCCTATGTAGCGCATGCAGCATAGTTCTGGCTTAACCTTGCGGATGCGGCTGTTTAGCCTTCTCAAGCCCGAGGCTCATCAGTGTTAAATCTCGAGCTCAGCCTCTGTAGTAACTGTTCTCAAACTGTTTTGTAACTAAATTAGTCTGTCAAAATTTTTGTGACAACAAATTTAAACTTAATTATTCATGGTTTATAAAAAATCTACTTTCATTTGTATTTTTCAAATATTATTCAAGGTGTAGGACTTGTAGGCTAACAATATTCTTTTATAAATTTTAAACGGAAATGTAAACAAGTGAGATATTTATTATTGGATGTATCTTTTGAGGAAAATAAATTTACAGGGAATTCATGGCTAACTCCAGTTTTTTCGTTGAATTTATCTAAATACACAATGTACCTTAATTTAGTTTGTTTAGTGAAATTAATCTTTGATTTATTGAAGTAGTGTAAGTATAAACGTACATCAAAAATTCACGTAAATGCAGGATCCCAACAATTCCAGAAAATATATTTGAATGAATAAATAAACAAATTCATTCAAATAACTAAAAAACTATTAATAAATTAGACCATGTAAATTAATGTTTTCATAATGTCTAACTTTTTCTTCACAGTAAGAAATTGAGTCACGACCAAATTAACTTTAGTTTATAATTTAACCTTCAGGTAAAACATATTTTTCCATTACTTTAATATTAGGGATACTTTTGTAGAGAGAACTCTAAACAAATCATAATATGGATGTTGTTAAATATAAAAAGTAAATCAAGGAAATAACTTTTTAATTGCTGTAAACAGTTGATGGTCTTCAATGGTTTTGAAACAAATAATTTGATAAATAATCTGTTGAGAAATAAATCTGTTATAGATACAAACACGTTTTTCCTAGAAGATTCCTAAAAAAAAATCAAATGGAATAGTCTACATTTTTAAGGTAATATTTTAAAAATAAACTACTGAAAACCCTATTGTAAAATGAATAAAGACAAACATGACCTTTAAGTTGATAAAATTGAAAACACCTAACACGTTAAGGATATGACGCTTGCCAAAAAAAATAATTTTTTACAAAAATTCTATTTAAATCTTGAATGAGAAGGTTAAACGGCCAGTAGAATCGCTAGGTGATTTTATAGATAATATTATCATAAATTCTCAGTTAGGACTGCTATTTCTTTCAAATTTTAGTACTAGGCTAATATAGTCGGGGAATAGGCCAGAGTTCCCATGCAATTTGCCACTGAAATTATTACTGTAGATAATGTTGTCATTTCCTCTGTATTATTATCTCAATATTTTTGACTCCAAAAACATTTTTGTTTAACTTTTTTTCTTGGAGTGAAGGGCTGACTGTTCAGCCCAATAAGGACTGTTATTCACCTAGCATTACGTCTCATTTGGTTGTGTACCCACTAAATAGTTTGTAATCATAGCAACTAAACTCACCAAAACAAAAGGGTGTCGTGTGTTTTTGAGTGGAATTTTCAATAGGAACAAAATAATTGCAATTCCAAAATCAAGCTAAACCATTTTAAGATATGATAGCAGCATTGAGTAATATTTGGTGATATAGTTTTCATTCATTTCAAACAGAATACGCAGTATTTTTAATGCTATTTTAATTGGGAAACCTGAAATTTCCTTTTGAAAAACACAGGACACCTTACACCATCTAAGCATGGTCAGAATACTTGATATGTTATCAAGTTTCATTTTATATATTTAATATTTACTTTGTTACGAATAAAACTCAAAGATATCAAAGATGCAATAAGGTCTTGTCTAAAGACAAACTTTTATTTTAGTAGTAAGCGGATTCTAAGTTATGCCGACTCTGTATAGTGACATATCATATATACGATGTAAATATAGCAGTTCTGCGCCATTTTTTAATGCTCGAATTATGTAATTCTTGAATATGCTGTATATATGAGGATGCCAGTAAGCTTAATTTCCATTACACAGACTTTAGTCGATACTTTTAATGTACTATTACAATCAACGTATGTGAATTACAAAATGAAATGCCTTTATAATCAATAGCCTACAGCTCATATTAGGAATACATTGCTTTTATAGAAGGCTTGATATTTTGATTTGTAATTCCTCGTCATGAAGTTATTTGTAACTGCAGAATACAATTGATTTATTAGAAATAGAATTTTACTAAAAGTAAAACTAAGAGACCGTGCACTTAAAACTTTGGTTTGAGTTTATCGGCTTTTGGATCCTGTTTCTGTTTAGTGTAACCGTCAGAAACGAACTAAGTTTAACGTAAAATGTCCGGAATTCAGTGACCATTAATGGCAATTTCATCCAAGCCAAGACAATACTCTGGGTCGAGCTCGACATACTTTGATTGTAACACCATTATCACAAATCAATCCATCTGGCAAACCCGATAAACAAAATATTTTTATATTTATGTGCCACCAAGTTTTGTACGATATTCGCTTTTAATGACATGAGTAAAGAAAAGATACCGTTGCGTTCAAAAGTACTACAATCAGTTTGTTAAGCTAACCGTTATTTTCAGTATTACAGATTGAAACTTAATGGCAATCACGGGATAACAGTCCTTATGTCACGGCCTGTGCCGATCTTCTGCCATCGTCTCTCGTCATATCACGTTACGTCATTTCTCATTCATTCGACACATTTATTGTAAAAATAACAAAAATATAGGTATATTATTATAAAGTCCTAGATTTTGAGCACTGTTTTAAGTGCTTGTATTTATATTGGGCTGTGCGGCGTTGAACCACGAGCAAACGTTTTACCAATATCGTAGGTTTGGAGTAGCTTTTACGCATAGTTAAGCACCCCCGGTGGTGATTCATTCCCTCTAGGTTACTCGGTACACTGCGCCCGGCTCGTCTTCCTCAGCAGTGTTGCCAACACTTACGTTGCATCACCGATGGTTTATAAACATTTCATTTAAGTTAAGTTTGAGATTACAAAGTTGGCAGCTCTGTGAGTTGCCCATCTCCTTGAGCGCACTGTACCTCGGATACAAGCGCATACTATAGAAATGTGACTGTTGCCCATGTATTCTACTTTCTGTGATTAGCTCTATTTCACATGGCCACTTGAGATAAAACAGCTGAAATTATAATAAACCATTTGTTAACACTATACAAGTAAAAAATATTTGGCGAAATGGAAAACTGAGAAAACAATTTATAAGTTACATGGGGATGCTTCAGTTTCTTTATCATTTAAATAACTCAAGACAAAACTACATTAGTATAGTCGCCATTTCAAAATAAAGTAATTAAAGTATCTAACTCATACATAAACAAAAGCCAAAATGGACTCATATTTTCTTGTGAAAAACACAAAGCCTGTGAAAAATAGGTAGAGTTAAATTTGCCTAGAGATAAACAATATTTTATTTTTTTTTAAAAAGTATTTCTCACCAGAATCGGTTTCTTAACAACATACTCCGACAATGTTGCTGTTAAGTGATTCGTGTGGGCATTTGAAATAGGCCTAACTACTTGTTGTTATTGTTATTCGATTTGTTGGTTATGTTTGTACGAGACATTGTATATGAGATTAGTTAGTTGAAATTTTTTATTTAGCATTTAAAATACATTCGAAACATCATTTTCTATAGTGGCAAAGGGGCAAGAGCGTATTTTAATCCGTATGTTCTAGGCTTCGAGACAGGTATTGTAGAAATCTTTTAATTACATAATTCAAGAGTTACCAGTAACTGTAGACATTTATCTTATTTATACGAATCTTAATGATTATTATATAATAATGCAAACATTCCTAGATTGTTATGTAAATAATTGTGTTTTTTAACAATGAAAATGTGTTTATAGTCTATTGTAAAAAGATGGAGGTGTGTGTGTTTGCTGGTTGGCAGAGTTTTCTGCAGCTTATGTATTGACCGTTTCAAATTTGTTTATATTTTTAAAGTGTAACTTTCGTAGAAAGATACACACGGACGTACTCGTATTAAGCTTTCAAACCGGTCCACGCAGCCAGCGGGTTTACATGAGACAAGAGCTTGCTTGGCTGGTGAGGAAAGTGGGTCTTGCCTTTGTTGTTTTGTATATATGGCATTTAGTTTTAGGCTGGCGGTTGAAATAAGTGAATTTATGAACCTTTCCATTCTCCTGATCAAGACTCAGTTCTGAGAGCAAAGGTGGCATAGCAATCATAATGAGCAAACACGAAAATGCTCTCCAATCGAAAAAGTTATAAAGTTGAAATTGTCTTATCTCAAAAATTTAAAAATGTTTTTAGTTTTTTTTTTTTTTTTGCTGAAACATTTGAATGATGGTAAACATAAGAATTTAATACATGAAGAATGTTAGTTTTGCATTGCTTTTTCTCACCTTGTCCTGAAACTTTTAAGTGTCTAAGTTTTAACCAAAATAATAAATATTTTGAAATAAGAATCATAGCATGGAATGAATTATAAAATATTGCATTTGAATTATCTTCAAACTCAGAAGAGGATTTTCAATACATGAGTAATATATAGTCAAATGAAAAATGTATACTTGCGGTAGGCCTATTAAAAGAAAAATTACATTTAGCTTTCCTCTTACACAGAATTGGAGAAAATACAGTATAAAAACTAATTTTTTAAACCCTAACCTGAAACATTCAAAATATAAAAATTCATTTGGTAAAGCAGATTTCCAGAGATACTGAGATCAGTAGAGTACAATATTAGTGGCATCAGATTATGACAGAATGGATCATTTTCGCATATAAATTCACTTGTTTCACTCATCATATTTTATGCATTGTATGTGATATTTCTTCAATAAAATCAGTAACATTAGGAAGTTGATTGTTTACTTAAAGAATGTTTAAAGTTGTTAAATGTCGTAATAGGAACGATTGGCCCAGAGAAAGTGTATGTTAGCGTGTATGGTGCAGTACATATCATAGCATGTACGGTGTATTGTATGTACGATGTATCTTTGTGTGAGAGGCCCAACTTTCTCACCAGTCAGGTACTAAAGGTTGTGCCCAATTGAGCAATAAACTGAAGATACAATTATTGAAAACTTCTCATCATTTCTCCACTCGAAACGATATCACGGTAAGTCTAACAATTTGAAAACATTTGCTCACTCGGGTGTGTTATTTTTCAGTTTTATATCAATCACATTTTATTTGTTAAGTTACCGGTCGTAACTGGTATTGGTGACTGCCGTTTTTGTCTTTTTCTCTGACAAAGTCACTGTGATAATTCATAACAACAACGAGCAAACAAGCACATTTACTCATTTTTGTTGGAAGTTATCGCTTGTCATTCGATCACACCAGGAATGTCTAGCAGACTTCGTTCGGCCAGAATCGCCAACACCTGACAAATATTGTATTTTAACAGTTCCGACCGAACGGTTCTGTTACGACACTTACATGTTACATCGTTTTAAATGTTTTATTTTGTACTTTTTGTTTGTCGTTAATCGATGGAATCAACAGATGAAGGGTTTGAATACAGCCGTCCTAATAGAAAATAAACGTAATAACAGTATTTTGCTGGCTTGTTATTAGTATAATGTTTATGTTGTCATCGCCTATATTTAGGGGTTTCGAAATCACTGCATGTTATTTTAACGTTAAGCTCAAAATTACGGCAGTATTTAAAACAAAATTGACATAGGATTCTCGCCTTTGTAAAATTTTATTCGTAATCGATCGTTTGGAAGATACCATGTTTGAACCATGCGTTCTGACACCTAATTGTTTCACCCACAATCTCCTCATAAATGTGTGTGGTTCATATTAATCCATTTTGGATTGTTAACCCGAACTTGTTTATTTACAGCGTTAATAAAATTTTTTTAAAGAAATAAAAAAACTTGTTTAATTTGTGTTGTTGGTAGAAAACTTCCATCCTTAAGAGTCAAGCGAACGATTCTGGAGCTGAAGCATGTACTGGTTTCCTTCAAACTAATGGACAGGCTTTGAACACCAATAAATATTTTGACTGGACAATGTGCCAGCTTTCTGACTTCAAAGTCTCTTCAACAATCTTATTTTAAACTACTTTTTATCAGTTAAGCAACAATACGATTTTACAGATAAATTCATAACATTTCAGTTTTTTACCGAGTGTGTTAAGCATGCATGTTACACTAATAATTAACGTTTAAATGGTTTTACAATACACCAAAGTGAATGAAATTTTTAAATTGTTGATGCAACGCTACGTCTTTGACTCAAACGTAAGTATAATATAATTCCTTTATTTATAATATATGTCAATGAATGAAACATTATTTTTGGGCATTGCATTATCTACCAAGGACATGTGTATTTACTTTGGAGTCGATGAGACAATTAGTTTTCAGTTGCGGACGGTGCAGTAAAAACCACATTGTTCTAAAAGTCTAGAGAATGTTTTTATTACTGTATTTTGAATTTGGTCCCTTATAAAAAAGTTCGATAATCTTTATAATTTTTGCCAACTAAAAAAAAATCATAACAGACGGATTTAAATCCTACAAGCCAGGTTTTTACACCAGAATACCCTTGTTTTGGTTCCAAGAATACTTTATTTGATCGAGGTTTTCATAGTTGATAGTACAGGTAGGTCTGGATATAAAATAAACTTGCAATTTTAATAATTAATAACAAAACTCTCCTTTTAAGATAAAAATAATTAGGTAGTTAATTGTAAGAGTATTATCAAAACAATGTACTCATTTCTTATTTCTCTTTTATTATGAGAAAAAATTTGGAAAAGCTGTAATTCTACGTCACAAGTCATTTCAATATTGCTTATATTTGTCCCAGTTTTTTATTCCGTTCGTACTAAAAAGTTGTCATCATTGTCCCTTAATGAATTAATAAATTAACAATCAAAAGAGAAATCATCATGCAAGATATAAACTACGATACTGATAAATTAAAAATTAAATAATTCTATGATATTGTTCGAATTTCAATTCAATTTGTCATGAACATTCACAAAACCATAACAATCATTTCATAATCCCCAGGATGGGGTAAATATTTTTTCAGTACCTTCTTAAGTTGGGAACAGTTTCTAGGAATTTTACACATGATGGAAGATGTTTCAAAGGTCTGCTATTTGTAAGTACATTAGTTTTGGTATATGATAATACGGTTTATTTTTAGTGATTATTACCACAGAGAAGTAAGGTACAGAGGAAACGTTAAATGGTACACTTAAGTTGTGTTTAGCACTAGTTGGTGTCTAGGGCAAAGTCTAAGACCACCCCCATGCCATCATGCACTACATTTGACAGTATGTAATCCACTTTTTTACGTGTCCATATCCATGTGTAAAACATTGATTTTCGATTCTTAACTTATACAACGCTTGGGGTGAAGGAAGACCTTGTGCAATAGGAATTTCCACAGTGCTTGCCAATCGGACTCTTGTTTGTCACAAGTACATTCCCGACACAACATACTAGAACTGAAAGCGCAAGTTTCCTTCTTACCTTACTTCTCTGTGTGCATCATGGCTATAAACCAGAGAAAATAGATGATTCATGGACCCCTTTCAATTAATTTAAATTTTTGAGATCAATAACACAATTTTATCACAAAATTATTAATAGAGATGATGCTAAGTAAAGAACCATCGGGGGGAGCGAGCTGGTCTAGTGGTTAGAGCGTGGGACTTGGGTCCATGGGGCCCCGTGTTCAAATCCCCCCAAATGACCTATGGATTTTAATATCTAAGTGATAATGCCGCAACCCCTAGGTCTAGCCTGAAGTAATGTGAAAAACAATCCCAGGCTCGTGCCTAGCCGCCTAGGACAAAAAAAAACAGTAAAGAACCATTACTTACCAACTTTTTACAAAACTAATAGTTGCTTACTAGTTTCATCCTAGTGTAGGACTTCTTCTTATATATTTTGAAAAGCCCTACATTATGACGTAATTGCATGTTATGTTATGAGATATTTTGTGTTAATCTATCCCACAGGACTTTCACACCTAGTTAAGCCTTGAAAAAAATTTAGATTTTTTTAAATAATCGAAATTAATTTCTCTAAAAAATATACTACTTTTTTAACTTTTGCATAGGCCATACCCTACACATTTTCTTGAGTATTACTACGTGTGATATTTTATAGGCTATTCACTATTCAGTTATCATTGTTGTTAACAGGAATAAGAATGGTTTTACAGGAATGTCTACAGCAGCAAGTCTTCTACTGCTTGGATTACTCTATCAACTGAAGTTGAAGAATAAAGAATACATACACCAAAGAGGATAAAGCTAGAGTACAACAAATATTGTATTTTATTTTTTATTAGGATGCTATTAAACACATTTTGTATTTTAGTAGTGACTTTGTCTCTTTATTTACCATTCAACAAAATAAATTACTACTTTTTCATACTCAACATTGTACAGCAAATGACATGAAAACAATTATTTGAAGGTTAATCATGTCCAAGGGAAAAACAACAGTCCTAATGGTCCAAAATATTAGTTAAGGTGTTGTGTTTGCTTATAGATTGTTGTGTCCAAAAGTAAACGTATACTAAAAAATCAGTCTCTGCCGTATTAAACTCAATGACACCCAAAGCAAAATTAAACAGGACATTTTAAACAGAAAGAGGTGTCCAGAATAATTTGTTTACTGTCTCCATTAATTTTTTTTTTAACTAGATTATTCCATTTTGTCTTTCAAATGTTGCATTTGTATTTCAATATGTTTTGTTCATATTTATCAAAAACAGAAAAACCTGTCTCCTAATCAACTAAAATAAATAGAAGCAAAACAGATGATGTATGCAATCTTTATCAAACTCACTATATTGAATGTAAACCATGTCAATTTTAGCTTCTCCACTGCTATTATTTAGAGACAGTATATTGATTGTTAAAATAAATCAATTTTTGTATTTACATTTTGGGATTTCTTTCGTCCAAAATTGTTTTTACATAATATGTGTCTGTATATTTGCAGCAATTTAATTAAAACTTCTGGACTAATTTTGATCAAGTTTTCACCGAGAGTGTTTGGTGAGTGAATGAAGGTTGTTGGGGGCAGGGGGGTATTCCAAGATGTTAATATTGACGAGTTTTTAAAATAACTACATGACAAAGATAGTAATAAATAGTTATAGGGCCAAAACTTCCCGTTTTCAGCAATTTGTTTACATAAAAATAAATCAAACTTTGTTCGGTCGTATCTCAGTTAATATTGAGCGTACAAAGTTGTATTACCAACCAAAATTTAGCAAAATTTATGCTCTACAACTATGTAATGCACATTG